ACACACACACACACACACACACACACACACACACACACACACACACACACACACACACACACTGAAGTCAGCTCATCACCCTGAATACCCTCCTCATCATCGCTTAGGCTCCGCCCAGAGGAATGGAGCTCTCTGCTGCCACTTCACACACACACACACACACACACACACACACACACACACACACACACACACACACACACACACACACACACACACACACACACACACACACACACACACACACACACACACAGTTGTAAAATTGCTGCTCTACCTGCAGACATCACGCGCGCACGAGTGTTTCAGAAAAAGAATTCCACTCGCAGATACAGGCGCGCGCATGCGTCCGTGTGGTCTTCCACCTTTCAGTTTAGCATTTTTTCACCTGCAGTGGACAATCGCACACGGACGCACGCGCAAGCACGCCGCAGCAGCGCGCGGCTGAAGCAAAGGGAGGATCGATATACAGGCGCGCATCCGGACCGCACGCGGCAGCAAATATGAAGGTAACGCAGAGCTTTGTTTATTTGTTTTTTTGTTGTTGTTATCCTTTCTCTTGGGTGGCACGAGGCACCGTGTGTCGCGCGCACTTCTCCTGCGGGTGGAAACGACTCCGTCAGCAGATTTCCTTCCGACACATGCAGCTCACAGCCTGGGCTGCAGGGATAGCGGAGGGTCGGTCACCTCCCCCATCACCAGAACCGCGCGCGCGTGTCACCATGTTAAAGTAACATTGTGAGAGTGCAGCTGCGTGTGTCTCCATAGTGTGTCCAGCAGCTGGATGTGCGCGCGAGCTCTTTGTCTGCTGTGACCGATTGTCATGAGTGACAGCAAGAGTAAGAGGAGGAGGAGGAGGAGACCACAAGAGGAGGTGATGAGGTGTAGTAGGAGGTCATGGAGAGGAGAGGGGCGGTGCGTTCAGGGTACTGCTTCCTGTCTCTGCTAAGCTGGTGAAAAGGTGAACCCACCTGAGCTATGGTCACGTGACGCTGACATAAACAGGTGATGTGTGGTGGTGTCCGTGAGTGAAACAGCTGATCAGATGGCCAGGTGACTCAAACCTGGTGATCTCTGATTAACTAACTACAGGCGTCTCATCTCCGATCCATTCTACCAACAACATGTCAGACACCCGAAGTCCCTTCAGCCACAGGACAGGGGCTGGTCTCCTGGTTCTGATGGGATCGACTCCTGGTTCTGATGGGACTGACTCATGGTTCTGATGGGACCGACTCCTGGTTCTGAAGGGACCGATTCCTGGTTCTGATGGGATCGACTCATGGTTCTGATGGGACCGACTCCTGGTTCTGATGGGATCGACTCATGGTTCTGATGGGACCGACTCATGGTTCTGGTGGGACCGACTCATGGTTCTGGTACTGACTCATGGTTCTGGTGGGACTGACTCATGGTTCTGGTGGGACCAACTCCTGGTTCTGAAGGGACCGACTCCTGGTTCTGATGGGACCGACTCCTGGTTCTGAAGGGACCGATTCCTGGTTCTGATGGGATCGACTCATGGTTCTGATGGGACCGACTCATGGTTCTGATGGGACCGACTCATGGTTCTGATGGGACCGACTCCTGGTTCTGATGGGACCGACTCATGGTTCTGATGGGACCGACTCCTGGTTCTGATGGGACCGACTCATGGTTCTGTTGGTTTTTTCTTTGACTGTAACCCTCCACATGACCCAAAGACCTAAGGCTGGCTAGAGTCAAGGTCAAAGGTCAAAAAGTCTCATCCCTGCTCTGGACCTTGGGACGTGTCTAATCTCTGATTTCATCTATTTCAGATCCCTTCAGCAGTGGTTGCTGTGCAGTCAGCTGATTCTTACTTCCTGTTTACACTCGTTTCCCATCAGCTGTGTCCCTCTGCTGCTTTTACTGATCTGTGTTGCTGATCCGGGATCAGCCTGAGGCCGTAAAGCGTCTATCAGGTCAGAGATTTTACTCGCATTCATTTTTTGGTACTCTCACGACCTTTAACCTCTGGACATGGGTGGAGGAAACACTTTCTCCCGTCTCCATGCATGCTGATGACATCATCAGTGCGTGTCAGCTGAGCGTCTGCAGATTCAGGCCGACAGCTGCTGTCGGAAACATTCAGCATCTACGGAGAAAAACTAACAATATCCCGAGTGAGCTGTGACCTTTGACCCCCTCCTTTCAGACTGGTTCTGTTAGAACCTGAAGCGAGCATTTCTGTATTCCTCTGGTGCCGACAGGAGCAGAACACCTCTCTGGTCGTTTGCAGTTGGTCAGAAATATGTAACGTCAGGTGGGTCGGAACAGAATAGAATAGAATAGAATAGAATAGAATAGAATGGCCTTTATTGTCATTGTACAGGGCACAACAAAATTGGAGTCACTTTCTTTGGTTCAAAATGTAAAATAATAGAAAACATAACACAGAAATAATATGAATGTCAAATCAACAGTAAGGTGTACAAACATACACAGAGTAGCAGCATGAGCTAGGTTCTGTGCAGGTCATATCTCTCCTGTCTTAGCTTCCATTGGCTGCCTGTTAAACCCAGATTTGATGTTAAGATCCTCCTTCTCACATATAAAGCTCTTAATAATCAAGCTCCATCATACATCAGTGGCCTGATTGTTCCATACGTTCCTAACCGAGCACTTCGCTCTCAGACTGCAGGTTTACTGGTGGGTCCCAGAATATCTAAAATTAGGATAGGAGGCAGATCTTTTAGCTATCAGGCTCCTCTCCTGTGGAACCAGCTCCCAGCTTAAAGCTTGGTTTATGCTTGACGCATTCACTTTCCGCTTGGTGATGCGGCTCGTGGATGGAACGCGCTTCACAACTTGCAGCGTTTATGGTTCACACGGCTTGTCTCTGTGGTGAGCCAATATTCTCCCAAACTGTAGGGGGCAGCATGGAGCTCTACGGCATGCATCCACCACTACACCATAGTAGAAGTAGAAATTACTGTTTACAACATGGCATTCCAGCATTTTTAACAGCGTCCTCGTCTTTTCCGACAGTGCGAGCTATTTCTCTCCAAGAATTATTAACAACATGTTGATCACGGTGATCTCTGAGAGCTGAATCATACAAATGTCTGTATTTACGAACCTCTGCCATACTAGTTCTTGCCGGTCCGCCATGTTTTTCCACGTCCGACCATCCGCGTGGTTAGAAAATGCCCTAGGTGCGCGGTGCTGAAATTTTGGGCCGTGCAGAGGCGCGGTGGAGGGGCGTGGTTGTTAAAATGACGCAATTTCGCCGCGCGGAGCCGTGCGGACCTCGCGGACGCGTCAAGCATAAACCAACCTTTAGTCCGTGAGGCAGACACCTTGTCTACTTTCAAGACTAGGCTTAAAACATTTTTATGTGATAGGGTCTATGGTTAAAATCTGACGTTAGCCTAAATCTGGCCAAGTGGGGGAGTAGAGGGAGGTGGAGTGTGTGCGTGTGCGTGTGTGTGTGTGTGTGTGTGTGTGTGTGTGTGTGTCTGCTCTGTCTTCTCCATCCCCAGTGAGTCGTGGAGGATGGCTGCTTATACTGAACCAGCCTCCTCTGGAGATTTCTTCCTGTTAAAAGGGAGTTTTCCTCTCCACTGTCGCTACATGCTTGCTTAGTATGAGGATTGCTGTAAAGACTCTGACACGAGTCAGTGACTCGATGCAACCCGCTGGGTTCCTTATATAGGAAACTTGTTACTGATTGGCTTAATGACCTCACCTGTATTGGGATGTTTACTGTGTGAAGGTCCGTGAGACGACTCTGGTCGTGATTTGGTGCTTTATAAATAAACTTGAATTGAAATGTACCGTCCGCCTGACGGCAACGGGTCAAACAGATGGTTACTGGGGTGAGAGTGGTCCTCGAAGATATTGCCTGCTCTACTGAGGTAACAGGAGTTGGCAATGTCCTGTAGGCTGGGCCGAGAGCAGCCAGTGATCTTCTGGGCTGTCCTGGTGAGCCTCCACACAGTCCTCGTGAAGGTAGAGTGGGGCCGGGCCCGCTCTGCCTTCCTGAAGTCCAAGATAAGTTCTTTAGTTTTGTGGTGTTTAGTTGGAGGTTGTCTACTGAACACCGTGCAGTCAGTCTGTTGACCTCATCTCTGTGGTCCGACTGACCCCCCCCCCCCCCCCCCCCCCGTCCAACTGTTCCACTCCAAAGGGACTGCTCCTTATTTCACTTTCCATCAATCCTGATTGGAGATTGAAGGTTGAAGATGTTAGTGAAGACTCCAGTCAGTTGGTCAGCACATGCTCTGAGAACCTTTCCACGTATTCCACCAGGCGCCTGCCGCCTTCCTGGGATTCACGGACCTCAGAACACATCTCACTCGATGCTCCTGAAGCCTCAGTGTGCCGGTGCTGGGGGCGGGTGGAAGTGGTGTGACAGCTGATGGCCTGGTTGTCTCAAAGCGGGCAAAGAATCTGATTAGGTCCTCAGGTGGGTCTTCGTGTCCTTACAGGACCAGGAAGTGACTGACCACCATAAAACCTGCTGAATCTGGTCCCGCAGAACCAGGATCACAAAGATCAGAGGCTTCCTTTGGTTCCTGTTTGTTAAAATATGGAACGTTTTCAGAACATCTGATCCATCTATCTGTCTGTTCCTCCACCCCCTCACTTGTTTCCTTTTTAGGAAACCCCATGCTTCCTTGTTTCCTTTCCTTTCTGACAGCGTCACCTCCTAACGTCACCTTTGGTTTTCTGATGTTTACGTTGAAACTTCCAGTTACAGACCAATGAGAGGAAGGCATGTTTCTGTTAGCCACTCCTTAAACACACACACACACACACACACACACACACACACACACACACACACACACACACACACACACACACACACACACACACACACACACACACACACACACACACACACACACACTGAACTCTGACCAGCCTTATCTTAGGGCGAGTGACTCCAGCAGAGAGAGAAAGTAGAACAGGAAGTGAAAGCCATGACAGCTGAACACACACCGACACAACAGCTTCACCCACAGAGGTAACACACACACACACACACACACACACACACACACACGCACACACACACACACACACACACACACACACACACACACACACACACACACACACACACACACACACACCCCTAGAGGGGGGCTAAGTCGTTTCCTCAGGGGTAGACAAGAAAACTTTACCATTCCCGACGTTCCAGACACATTAAGGATCAGGGAATCTCCAGCTTCTCGAAGCCCTGATGAGGACCAGAGTCAGGTCTTGAAACGGTGAGAAGATCAGAGTCAGACCGACTGGAGACCTTTTCCATCACTTCTTGCTGCTGCTGGACCTTATTCCTCAAAGTGAAGCTCCTCCGTTGGCAGGCTGTGGTTCTTGAAGTTCTTGGGGATGTAGAAGACGTTTTTGTCCCACCGCCCTCATGGTGGCTCTGACAGATCAGAACTAGCTTCACCTCCAGACCTGACACCAGTCTGCTCCTTCAGCAGGACTGGGACACGTTGGTTTAAACATGGCTCTCGGATCAGGACGTACATGGTTTGTGATAGTCTAGGTCAGTGGTTCCCAACCCTGGTCCTCGGGGACCACTGTCCTCCATGTTTACCATGTTGTCCTTTCAGACACCAGCGTGTCTCTGCTGCCACACACCTGTCTTAAACGAGAGGTTAACCAGTATCTGCAGCACTTGATGGCCTCCTTAGGAGCCAGTGTAAATCAGCTGTGCTGAAGCAGAGACATGGAAAACATGGAGGACAAAGGTCCCTGAGGACCAGGGCTGGGAAACACCGGTCTAGGTCCAAACCAGGTTTTCTGTGAGGAAGCAGTTCTGCAGCTGAAGTGACCTTCACACCAGGTTGGTGATGATGTCCTATATGAAGGTGTTGTGTGTTCACCTCTGATGTTTGGCTCCATTCAGTTTCCTCCTCCTGGTGGGACTCCATGTGCTGCTGGACTTGGGAAGTTCTGTTCCCAGATTTGCTGAGGTCCCCTGAAATGTGTTGGTCCCGGCGATGAATTGGATCCCCTCATTTGGTCTCGTCTCGTCTGGGACTCCTTGGTCCGACAGAACCCTGCTGGCGGTTTTGATCATATGTTACAGTAGAGCATTGGGAGGAGGCCATTTGTGGCCTCTTCTCCGTAGGTTAGACCTCCTCATGTTCTCCTTACTCCTTCTTCACTAACAGAGCTCCTCTTCCGCTCCTTGTTGGCCTTACCTCTTGATTATCTGCTCTGACCTCCTCTGTAGTGAACTTCATTGGCTACTCCTAAGAGATGACATCATGAAACTAGATGTGGTCAGTACCGATTGTCTACCTGGACCCAGTACTCCATCCTGAACTTTCACAGGATGACAGTGGGTAGGTCTTTGGACAGGAACAGAACCATCAGAACCAGGAGACCAGCCTGTGTGAGGACCGGGCTTTTTTTTTCTCTGGGTCAGGTGGGTCCTGATCACTGGGATATATATTAGGTGGTATCCCATCCTACAGGTGTTTCTCCTCATTCCTCTCCCTCAGGAAACGCCGGTTATGTTCATAACCTAACGTTCTGGTCCAGAACATCTCAGACGTTCTGCAGAATGAAGCAGGTCCGGTTCACAAGTCTCTGATTGCAAATGTTGTTGTTTGCTTCCTCGTTGATTTCCTTTGCATACGTTCATCTATATTTAAGATACAGACGTGTGTGTGTGTGTGTGTGTGTGTCAGAAACTTCCTGCTGGCTGCCACCATCTGCTGTTCTGACTCGAGGCAGCAAGGAGAGGAGCTGCTATGGCGCAGGAAGCCGATGGAGCATTTTCCGTTGCTAAGAGACCAAACAGCGTTCTGATGAAGGGTCAGGAGGAGCAGAAAATCCCCGTCAGGGTTGTTTAGAGGAGTAAGAGACGGAACTCATCAAACCCTGAATTGGTTGTTCGTTTGAACTAGTTCCTCGTGTTCAGTCTGTCAGAGTCGTTAAACAAAGGCAAGCATCTGAACAGAAGATCTAGGAGCAGCTGAGCGGTGTGGGTCCACCTCCAGCTGAGAGGGTCTGTCAGCAGAACCGGTTAATGCTTTTATAAAGTTCAGAAACTGCTCTGATTTGGTACCACGGGTGTAAAATCCACCAGAAGGGTTTGCCCAGACTTCTCATGCACCTGACTCCAGACTACAGGTGTGTGGCAGAACCTTCTGTTAGTTCATGAAAACCTTTTCTAGCATCTTTACGCCAAACTGGATCCATTTTTCTGGGTCACCTAGTTAGGAAATGGTTCTAAACCAGAACTGGAGCCGCCTGATGGACAGCTGAGTCAGAACATGTTCCAGGTGTGTTTACCTGTTTCTCATCAGCTGGATCTGAGTGGTCTGATGTGATACTTGTCACCGTTCCTGGTTGCAGCTCCACCACCATGTCTAAAGCTACAGTGAAGAAGCTGCACTGGCGCTCCAAGGTAAGAAGACCTGGAACACCTGAAGTCAGAGCAAACCTTCCTGTCTGACCACCTTCATGTCGTCTACAGGTACAGGAGAGCTTCGTTCCGCTGGGTGGAGCCAATGGCTCAGGTGAGCTGGGCCTGGCCGTCGGAGGCGGAGCTGACTACGGAGAGTTTCCCTTTGTCACAGCAGCTTCTGGGGGCGGAGCCACAGTGAGTGACATCATCTTGGAGATTGGAGGGACTCCTGTGTTGGGGATGACTCTTGGTGATGTCAGAGGAGTCCTGAACTCCTGTCCTCATCCAATCAGAATCAAGACTGTCTCACCAGGTAAGATCTGACAGGTGGGCTCCAGAAACACCTGAGTTCCAGCTGCTGGAGTGACATCACCATCTGTCTGTGTGCTCCAGGCTCGTCTCTGTGTAAGGACCTGAGGTTGTACCTCAGCAAGTGTTTCACTCCAGGATGCATGGACAGCCAGCTGCAGCAGCTCATCAGGGAGAACCTGTACCTGCGCGCCGTGCCGTGTAAGACGCACCTGGGAGCCACACCGCCCAGTTTCACTCTGATGCTTCGCCACACATAAAGTCCTGTTTCCAGCCAGGACCCACCTGTGCTGTGCCTGTCCAATCGCATGGCACCGCTCTCTGACATCCCCGTATCCTTCCTGTAGGCACAACCAGGCAGCCGCGGGACGGGGAGATTTCAGGTGTCGACTACAACTTTGTGTCTGTCGAGGAGTTTTTCTCTCTGGAGGAATCTGGAGCCTTACTGGAGAGTGGAAAGTTCAAAGGTACGAAAATAAACGCACCCTCGTAGTTCACAAGGATTCACACCTGTCCAGTTATGGTGCTAAACGCTCCTCATCTTACCTGTAGCTAACGCTAACGGTACCTCCTGGTTCCAACTGCACTTCTTTAATATTGAAACCAGTGATTCCAGATCAGCTGAAAAAATAACCACTGACCTGGAATCAGTGGAAATAACTCACCTCCACCTTGCTCCTCCCAGTAAGACCATCAGCCAACCAGAAGCATGTTTTTTATGATCAGTCGAGCTGTAGCATCATCCGGAAGCACCGCGTAGGGACCCGGGACTCAGGACCAGGTTACCCAGACCTGTACCAGACTCCGGCGCATGGTGGAGGAGTTTTCCGAGACTCTTGATCTGGGCTCACATTTATTTCCTTCTGTGATGTCATCTCCGCCTTGTGGTGTGGATGGGACAGTGTCTTTATTAGAGTTGGTGTATTCGTGGTTCTGATGGGATCCCAGAACCTTCTGAACCTCCTCTTAACAAAAACAACATCACAAATAACAAGGAAAACAGCAAAGAAGTAAAAAAAAAACACGAGAAAAGTAACAAATCCTCAAAACCCAACTCTGTCTCATCATAGGAAACTATTACGGGACGCCCCGCCCCGTCCACATCAGTCCAGAGAGTCCACCAATCACCTATCAGGAACATCGCAACCTGCTGAGGAACTTCAAGACCAGGAGCAAGTCTCTGAGTAACCTGGAAAAAGCTGTGGAGGAAGGAGACAACAGCGAGGAGGACGGGGGCCTGTCCGGTACGAGGGGTGAACAGCTCAGTGATCATCCCTGTGATGGTTCAAAGTGCTTCATAAAAACAGCTGATGAAGGTGATGATGAGTGTTTGAGGAATAAAAATACCGTCTTCCATCAGGTTCAGCAGGAGCGCCGCCCACTACTCTGCCTCTCGGCCAATTGTGGGAATCGTCAGCTGGAAATCGGGAGGCGATAGAGAATGGGGGAAGAAGAAGAAGAGGAGGAGGAGGAGGAGGAACCCAGCTGCCTGACAACTGGGAGCTGGCCTACAGCGACTCAGGAAAGCCCTACTACATCGAGTGAGAAAAGCCACACATCATTAATCATTGAAGTTGTTGCTGGAGACTGGTTTATCCAGGACACGGCGACCCTGAGAGGAATCAGGACTTCTTCTCTTGTAGCTGAAAATGCTTCACCTTTTATCCAAAAGGCTCCTTCAGTTCTGATCCTGGGTCAGACTTCATGACTTATTAGTCATTGTAGATAAATACACATTAATTAAAGTTTAAATCAGACGAGTCAGTGACCTGCCTTCCACCATCGGGTCTTTTATCACAGATGATCTCATCCACCCGTCCCGCATGACTAATGCACCTAATTACTCACTCGGACCTTATAACCCCAGAAGCTCTTCCAGCGATGGGAGAAGAAGTCCAGTTGCCTTTATTTGATGTTTTCCTTTAAGGAGAATCCTAAACATAACGGTCGGTGTGATGAAGCAGTTAGATTTAGGTAGGAGCAGCCATGAACGCTAAAATGGCCGTTAGATGTTGGTAAACCTGGTTTACTCATGTTTGGTTTATAAATCTGAGAATAGTATTAATAAAGATGATGATGATGATGGAAAAGATAGTGTTGGTGTTGGTGATGATTGTGATGGTGATGATGGTGGTGATAAAGATGATGATGGCAGTGATGATGATGGTGATGAAGATAATGTTGATGATGATGATGATGGTGATGAAGATAATGTTGGTGATCATTATGGAAAAGATGATGTGATGTGATGATGATGATGGTGATGAAGATATTGTTGGTGATGATGATGAT